TGAGATGAGATGAGAAGAGATTGTTCCTCCCCTGGGGTGGGATGGGTGGGAAGATAGCAGGTCTACATCAGCAAATAGCTGCGGCAGCCATAATTCAACCTCCTCAAACAAATAAAGGAGATGAGATGAGATGAGAAGAGATTGTTCTCCACCTGTATTGAATGATCACTTGATGTATAACCTTTCAAATAAAACTAAGAATAATCTTTCAGACAATTGAAAATTTAATCAATCTATGTCTGCAAAAATCAGTTTTTGTAAACTAAGTGGTCAATTATAGCAAAACACGACATCTTCTTTCTCTTGTTATCATATTCCTATTCTGTGGAATGTGTATTAGTTGGTCAACCTTTGTTAAGCAGTCACCTTGTCATTCCCCATGGCTGACAGGTAGGACTGTAATTAGGAAATTTGTTTGAGCCACTGAAAGGTTTAGATAGGTGATAGCAGCAAATAAAGTTGATCTTGATTTAACGTAAGGAAGAGGTTTACTAATTAAGCCATATAACTGAGCAAGATGACATATTGTTAAATAGATTTATGAAGTAGGTAAAGGAAATGAGGAAATTAATGGCCAGAATTTCCAATTTTCAGGCCTTCATGCTTAAGTGCGAGATTTTTTAACCATAATTCTCTTTGTTCCCCAGAAAGTTGAGGAAGTCAACAAAGCTAATGAAATTATGCAAATGACAATAGATGAAATGAAAAGGAAGATTGATGAAGCACTCAATCCCAACAATGAAAATGGACTTGTAAGTAATGTGTGGCAAAGAACTTTGGCCACCACATCAGTGTTAACATTTCTTTTACCAGTCAGATAAATGGGAAGGTGTTATTTATGTTGAGGAATGTTTTGCAAGAAAGAGAATTTGTTGCAAGTATTTGGTTCATGGCTTTCAATTCTGATTTGCACTGGCCTTCTTCAAATGTTTGAGCATCATCGACAGGAAAAAGTGACAAAGTATCAGCCAATGCTCAGATCACATTTTCATCAGTCAGTTGATTATTTTGTAACAAGAGATAGCTGCCATCTACAGGTTATTTTTAGACCTGGAACAGTGTGATTCCCAACTAGATTGCAAAGTTGTTTGATATTAATTTCATACTCAGTTATTCCTTCAATGTGTTTTCCTTTTACTGGTGTATAGGGCTCATCTGATACCTCCGTAGACAGTAAAGCAGCGTTAGATGGCACTGATGAAAGCTACAAGCACAGGTACTCCAATATTATCAACAGCTATGAAGAGGATACCACTAGACACCTCCAACAAGCTGATGCACCACAGGAAACTTCCAGGGGTGATGCTGTGGCCCGGCAGTATTCAGAGATTGGGGAGGATACTAACACAGCTCCAGATGAAGATCATTAAAACAGAACAGTAGGGTTAAGGGCTGATAGTTTCGAAAGAAACTGTTTGGGGCTGTGTCGGTGGGAGTAATGAAATAATTTGGATATATCAACAAAGTTGAAATGGTAAATTGGCCACCGTAATGATTACAAAAGCTGACATTTCGAGCGTTATTCCTTCGTCGGAGTGAATGACGAAGGGCTAACGCTCGAAACGTCAGCTTTTGTAATCATTACGGTGGCCAATTTATCATTTCAACTTTGCTGATATATCCAAATTAGAACAGTAGGGAGTTGACAATTTGTAATATCATATTAAGTGACTGTTTTTATGTCACAGTTTTTACTTTTTTTTGTAAATTAGAAGAATTGTGGTTTGGGACATGAAACTTAAGACCATATGCTTTAGACCTATCCAGTCCAGTTACCCTGTGGTGAGACGTACTTTGGTCTGCTTTCAGTTCCATCCTTGTTGTTTGTGTTTGGCTTTCATTCTTTAATTTGAGTAAACTGCCATTGGACAGTGTTGAAATCCACTGTTTGCTAATGTTGCATGCTAGAAAATATAAGGAAGGTTGGAGGTGAAATCTGTCTGTCTATGTAGAGTGAAAAATTGGATCCAAGCTTCTCATCTGTTGTTGGACATGTCTTTCAGGTGGATATAAACAGAGGTTTTGAAGGTTTGTTGTATGGTGTTCACAGTTAGGCAGGAGACAAATTGATTGGTTATATCAACTAAGTTGAAATAGTAAATTGGCCACTGTAACATAAAAAAGCTGACATTTCGAGCATTAGCCCTTCGTCAGAGTGAATGGAGGAATTGTGGGTTGTGTGTGGTTTTATATGCAGAAAGCGGAGCTACGCCACAAAACCATATACAACTTACAATTCCTCCATTCGCTCTGACAAAGGGCTAACGCTCGAACCGTCAGCTTTTTTATTTGTTACGGTGGCCAATTTACTATTTCAACTTAGTTGATATAACCAATTACCTTGTTACCCCCACCAACGTAGCACCATGGTTTCTTTAGAAACTTTCAGCCTTTATCCAGGAGACAAATTGTCCCATTAAGAGTACTCATCGGTCATATCTACTTGCATTTAGTTACATAATGACAACTACAGTTCATTTAACATCCCTGAAGTGATTGGCATGTAACTTCTCCCTATCATATACACACATTATCCAACAAACAGGTAATGAGACTACTCAAACTTATTGGGTAGAAGTTATCTTGATCTAACACCAAATTCTCATAACTAATATACAAGGAAATGAGTAGCAACATGAGGGGAGAATTAACAATCAGATCTTGGAAGTGAAAGGGTCAGTTGTATGTGGAAAGAGTACTCCAGGATTGCAATGGTGTTTCTTAGTTTACTTGCTTGGTCTTGAAAATTTGTGCCACTCTTTCACTCCATCAGAATCAAAAGTAAAACCAATGGTGACTTTGTTCCACTGCCTTTTTTTTTTTTTTGGACTTTTCATTGTCTGTTATTGTTATTTTCCTGGTGTTGTGATTAGTTTGTTCACATTTTTATAGTTTTGCAATACTCAGTTGAAATGGGCTCTTTGAGATTTTGACAGGCTATTTGCCTTTGCATTATTTTACACAGTAAATGGTTTGAACACGAGGGGGTAACATGTGAAAGTGTAGTGCAATCATCCAGGTGATTGTAGTCCTGAGAAGGACTGTTGTCAGTGGTGGTGACTGCCGTTTTGACAATGTTACTGTGCAGAAGTCATTATCAGAGTAAAGAATCTTTTTTTCTCTACATAACTGATTAAAGACGAGGGGAACTATCAATTTCTTGTATTTTCAGTGGTTAAAAGAGTACATGTAAGGTTATGATATAACAGTATTAATAGTAGCTGTGATTTTCTTTGACTGCCCTGCTTGGTTAAAAAGTGTATTGTTTATAGCACCGATAAACCCCTTGTTTATGTTGTAAAAGCAATAGACCGGACTTTTTATCAGCTACCGGCATTATAACCCAGTTGGGATGTTGGGAAAAACATCCTGCATGGGATTTTTATGCGAGTGAGCCTATATAAAGTGTGGTCTATTGCCTAAATGGCAAGGAGTTGCTCATTATGCTGTTAGATATAATTATAGCTGTAACTGCATTTATTGTATATACATACATCAGTTTACATTATGACTTCAGATGTCATGAATAGTGTATGAACAAAACTGAGGAGTTAATTCAAGTATACATATGTTGCCTTAAAAAGCTCAAAAGTAAATTTCATCTTTAGTAAGGGATTTTTAAGTTGAAAATATGTATAATTCATTATTTTAGAGATTTAAATTGAAAGTAAGTATAATGAGCTATTTTTAATTAAAGATTTAATTGACTCTTTTTTTAACTTGTGATACTCAGGGTTGTGGTACAAGTGTATGTTTCCATATCTGTTTGTTTCATTTTCCATCCATTGATTTCATTTAGCAACTAAACAGACAGGAAATAAAACCAGTGGGCAGCAGATTCTTCTGGGCTAACCATTTACAATTACAGGAAAAAGATGTAAAACTCTGAAAATGGATAACTTTACACTTTGTGGACTTCTAAAGATAGAAAAAAAAAAAACAGCTAAAAAAAGAAAAATGTTTTTTGCAAGGATCTCAAATACAAGTTGACTCACTAATTAACAGCAGTAGGCACTTCAGAAATTACTGTAAGTTAACTTATGTTTACATTTTGGAGAAGCAGGTCAACTTTTCATTACTTATTATATGTGCAGTAATTTAGCTTGAGAACAGGCTCATGAGGTAAATGATAAATAAATATATTTTTGGGATAAAGAATTTTTTAGCCAATCATTCTTTTACAAAATATTTGAAGTCTTGCTAGCAACACTTCTCATACCTGGAAGCTCATCCAAAAAAAGCTCTGTTTGTTTGTCAAAAGATTTCACCTGTCTTTTGGTAAATCTGGCTTGTCTACTAGCATAGCTGCAGACAAGCCAGTTTTTCAACCCCTGAATCTTGGAAGACAGTAGATTTTGATGTTGTCCACACCTCTCGTTTTATTTCTCTGAGAGAAGTAGTGGGCTTATGGTGGGCTTTGTGAACTCTGGATAAATGTCTGGGTCGGAGACCAGCCCAGGCCATTCTGTTGTGTTCTTGGGTAAAACATGTTACTCTAACAGTGTCTTCCTCGACCCAGGTGTACAATTGGGTATTTTTTCCTGACAGTTTTCCTGAAAACTCTTCAAAATCACATAGAAAACCTCTTTAAGTGTCGAAGGAGCAAGACAAGTCTAGTTTGACTAAAGAAAACCCAAATCCACTTCAATTCGTACATGCGACCAAACATATTAGGTCATTAAGATTTCAATCATTTGAATTAACTAATGAGCGTGTGCCTAAAATTGAACAATAAAAATGAGACTAAGTCTGTAATTGCGTGTGCACCAGGGTGTAAGTCCCAAATGAGTTCTTTAAAAGTTTTTATCCATTCCTTAAATGTAGAAAAGCCTAAAGAAATGCAGGGGGCAGGGGGGGTTAACTTGCTTTGGACTATTGTCCTATTGAAGGGAGGGCAGGGGGGGGCAGGGGGGTTAACTTGCTTTGGACTATTGTCCCATTGAAGGGAGGGGAGGGGGGGTATTGATGCTCCTAGTCGCTTGACGCCGAGGAGACCAGATTAAACTCTGGCAGGGTGTGCCACTTGGCTCAAGTACAGACATATATAGCTACTTTTTTGTAACTGCAAATGAACCCATACCCCTCTGTAAGACCTTCCTTTGATGAGTTAAAATGTACTTCATATTTTAGGTGGGTCCAGAAAAATGGCAGGGTCAAAAAGAAAATGAGGGAAAGACAGCAGCTGTTTTTCCAACTGACAATCTCAACTGGGATTTGTAACTTGCCTACCCCTTTGCTTGTCCCCACTGACTGAGAACCTGAAACAAGCTAAATTGAAATGTAGAATTACAACAGATGTGCCAATATCATTTCTGCATTTTATTAATTGTTCAATATTAAAAATATATAGGTACTAAATAGTGTAACTAACTAATTTTTAAATTAACTTTAAGAAAATGTTCTTGCTGAGTGTATTCATGATAAATAACCAAGTCTGGTCAACTCATATAAGAATATTTTTCCATTGAGTATTTTTTCATTAATTTATAGTCAACATCACATCAGACAGTATTTATTAAATAATACACAGCATCAACAATGTATGCAAAACTTGATTCCTTATTATTTTTTTGGATTAGCATATTTACTTGACTTAACACCATGACATTCTGACATTTTTAATGTTTCCAAGGCACTGAATCAATGATTCAAGATCTAATATGATGTGTTGTTCTTTTATCCCGGCCTATAACTACCAGGATCAGATTGCAGAGTCTCCCCTCCAGGTACCACACATTTCCTTGTAAATCAGCTACAAGAACTTGGTGTTGGATCAAGATAAAAACTACTTGTCTGATGAGTTTGAGTATTCTCATTACTTGTTTGCTGGATTATGAATGCACATTATAGAGAGAAATTACATATTCATCACCTCTGGGAGTTTAAGAGTTAATTGAAATTTTCAATGATGGTGTAATTTACTAAGTTGTACTGCACCTGTCAATTTTTTTCACAGTCTACGAATAAACTCTGCATTCTTCAGATTGGGTGTGGCATTCATCAAGACTGGAAGTATTGATAACTTTATTCTCCATCCTTGGTAATCATCACAAGTTGCCATTTAATCAAATAAATACGAGTTAAGTTTGATCCATTTCTATGCAATGTGGTATAAAATTAACTATAATTAAGCTTTTGCCATAAAAAATCACCTTGACTATTTTTTTGCCTGTTAATAAAGCATCTAATGAGTATGAACGCAAGTAAGTAATTTTTATTGTATTTGTAGATGCATAATTTTTTCAATATTCATGTCTAGCCAACAGGCAGCCTCTGGGGTCTTTGATTGATTTAGCAATTAAAAGAAGATAAAATTATGCTGTGTAAAAATACATTACTCATGCCTTTAAATGAACACAAGTGGAAGCTCTTCAGTTGGTCTTTAGTCAGGATTCAACCAGTTGTGGTACATATACATTTAACCTAATCTGCCTCTGTCATTAATTTTAGTTTGAATGCGAAAGTCCTAAGTTTTATCAACAAAGTTAATGCTATATCCATCTAGTATTCTTAAACAGTCATGAGACGTGAAGTAGTTGAGGAACTGTTCCTTTGAGAGAGGGAAAAAAGTCTTCTGAATGGACATAATAGTTGGATCAAGTAAAATAAAATCCCTGGAAAAATTGAAAAAACTGCTGCTACAACTAAAATTACCAAAATAATGTTTGTCCAAAATTTTATATTCTCTCTTTCCTTCATAAATTCATTCAGTTCACTGATTTGTAGAAATCTGTTCGTGTATCCTTGAGGCAATTCAAACTGTGATGGGATAGGGAAGAGAGACTCATAAAAATCTACCAGTAGTGCTTTGATGAGTTCTGCATCCTTCTTGCTGTGGTCTATGTTATCATTCAAGCAAACAAATTTCTTTTTCTTTCCTCTGATATTATCTAACTGCCGCAGGACAGCTGTGGCATTGTCGCGTATCATGTGAAATGCAACATCTTCATCTCCCACAGTCTCGTATTTGTACTTTGCAGCGCCCTTGTAAGAGTCATTCAACAGTTTCAACAATGGGTCGCACTGTTGAAGGAATTCCAGTGAAACCAATGGTAGTCCCTGATGACTTGGAATGGATGAATTAGTATCTGGCACTGATCTGTTATCACACCTCAAAAGAGTTTTCTCAAGAGAATTTAAGTCATTCAGGTCCAATGGTAATGTGTAAAGCCGTGCTGCTAAGGTGCGCATCTCTCTTTCTGACAATACTCCTAAAAGTTAAGAGAAAAAGTGTTGCATTCATGGGTAAGATTTTTTTAAGTATTTGTAAAATATTTTTCCTTTGTCCCAAACTCGAGACCAATGTTTTAAACATTTTATTCATTAAAAAAGTGGGCTAAAATTTGTAATGTAACATAAATCCTATATTAAGTTTCCCCCTCTTAGAGGAAGAAATTTATTAATCCCCCAACTTCTGAAATAAATAAGCCCCCCAGGGGGCTTTATTAGAGGATTTATGGTACTGGTCTTTCTCATACTGTTTTGGCAAACACCACAGTGTACACTACTGAATTAAGGATACATGGGGGAGGTTGCTAAGCATGAAGGGAGCATAGGAGCCACTAGTCTTTGCATCTGCTCACGTCAGCAGCGTACAACCACGGGCACTGAATTGACCAATCAGAGTGCATGCTCTACTTTGGTTGTAATTATTATAAGAATATTTTCAACCCACCTGAATGATCTGCATCAACATCAGCAAAGAACTCAATAACATTTGGATCCTTCTTTTGACCAACCACAAAATAGTTGTAAGAAAACGCAAACTGCATGTCCTCAGAGCTTCTAAACTTATGTGATGATGTTTGGTCAAATTCCTCTGGCAAAAGAGATTGCAGCTCTTCCATGATTTTCACATCAACCATGTGCGGCATATGGGCTGGAACTTTACGTCCCATGTAGCCAAACTTGCGGTTATAGATCCGATGAACATGAAGCAATGAATCAGCAAAAGTGTCCAGTAATTTTCTACCAGGTTTGTGATCATTTGTGAATTCTTGTGAATGCTTTTGCCTGTCATGATATCTCAGAAGCTCCTCGAATGTTTTTTGCCTTTCCCAAGGGAGGAAACTTGTTGCACTTTGCAGTACTTTTGGTGACCAGTTTCCATAGCGACTTCTCCACAGCTGTGTGCTCTCCGCTTGGTCCTTATCAAATGACAATTGTTTTTGTTTTGTATTTGCAATCCAGTCAGCTAGAAATATCTCATCATCTGTTGCCTTGTAGTGTTGATCTTTCTCTCTACCAATTTCAGCAAAAAGAGATTCTATTTCAGACACCTCTAAGGACAACAGCTTCCTCTGAGTATGTGTTTCTGTTCTTTGATGTCCCTGAAGTTCAGAACTGGTACTTTTCTTGTCTTTCCTATTTTCCTAGGAGTAAATAAGAATGAAACAGCAATTCTAAACTTGCAAACAACAGAATTCCATTTACAAAAGTGGAATAGGATTTCTAATGCCATAAAAACAGTGTAACACATGAAGGCAAAAATCAAAACTTCACAATAAAGACAACCAAATTTAAGCCCATACAAGATCCAGGATTTTTCATGTCCAAACCAACTTGTCTTCACTACCCCACCTCCCTCCATTTAATCTACACCATACTTAAGTGTAACCAACCTGCTGTCTTATGGATAAGTTTGCAGGAGGGGTTACCACCATTCCTGATTTAGGCAAAGGTGCAGTTAACACAGCAATTGGTGAATAAGCTGGTTCAGTAGCAACCACAGTAAAAAATTCACGCAAGATCTTGGCCTTCTTTCTAGCATAACCTTTCTGTGTCAGGTCACCATCCTTGTACTCTTTCTCCACCTCCTCCAGAGAGATTTGAACATGTTGCGGCAAAACTGTGTCATTTGATAAGTGCGGTATCTCATATTCCTGGCTGGTTAAGGGTGGCCATGTGGGTCTGGTAATTGACTCATTACCAGTAACCGCCCAATAATTCAGGGATCTATCAGCGTTCTGAATTCTGATTGGATAAATAGTTCTTGGGAGTGTCTCTGCATTTGCAGAAGGTGTCACTACTGCAGAAGTTGTTGCTTTTGTTGTTGTCAATTTGCTGGTTTTTGAGTTTCTTGCAGGAACTATTTCAATTTCCTCTAACTTTCTTGTGTCTATGGTTACATTTAAGTTCACAGCCACCTTACTTGATTCATTCTTGTCAATAAATCCTTCAATTTTGAAATGAATACCTTCTACTGTACAGTTAACTCGCAATGTGAGAGTAAAGACTTTAAATTTCTGAGCCACAGTAGCAGAGCGAACACAATGCGTCTCAGAATATTCACCGGAAGTGACCCTCCCTTCGCTAAAAAATGTTGAAATGTTGAAATAAAGCACTGATATGCCACGAGGTAAATTGACAGCTTGAGTATCCTGATCAACATCAATATGATACAACTCATTGAATTGTGTTATTCCACAGTCACCCGCATCAAAACCGCACTGAGCAACATTACAAGCCACATCACAATAGCGATCACCAACCCATGTATCTGCACATCCGGGAGAACAAAACATTACTCGGTAACTTCCATGTTGACTTTGCCATCCTTGATAATTAAACTGTGTCTTCTTTTTCACTCCAATACAGTCACCACCATCCCAATCACATTCTGATACATTACAAGCTTTGTCACAATACTTGTCATTTACCCATGAGGATGGTCAGCCCTCATTACAGTTTGGGACAGGCCAGGTTAAATATATTTTTTGTCCATTAGCATGAGTGTAGAAATCATCTGGCCAAACATCATCAGCAAACATAACATCATCATTAAGATAGATAAACTTTGGTGATAAACCAGGGATACGATGAAGGTGGGATTCAATGGCTGGAGAACTAAACGTTGGAAGATGGCTCTTATTCAGAAAGAGTTCTTCATGGGTAACTATTTTAAGGCGAGGATTATCTAAGTTGAGCCAAGATGGTATTTGGCCATTTGTGACAATAAAAATTTTGCGCACCCATGGTGCATGTTTTTCAACTGAACGGAGAGAATATTTCAGCTCTTCATTATCTGCAAAACGACTCGCTGAAATGTCAGCATCTTCCTTATCATCAGTATCTGTGCCATGTGATGCAGAAAATGAACCCCAGATCAAGAGTGCAGGGGTTAATGTTAAAGATTTACCATTCACTAGCAAAGTTAGTTTCAAAGCAGAAGAGGCCGTGGTCTTATCAGCAAAGTATGCTACACCAATAAGTTTGTCAGCATGAAAAATCAAATTGACAAATTTGTCTCCAAAGTGGTCTTTCAAATCCTTCTTGACCTTTTCAACTTCAATCTCTCCTTTTAAGTTTAAAATCATGACTTCTTTGTCACTGTTCACTGCATTAGGCCGTGATGCATCACTTGTGAAGTAACCCTCTTTACTTTGAAAACTCTTCTCCTGAAGTCGGATCTTGATTTTCAAAGCGTCATTGGTGTCGCTTTTCCCACGGAATTGAATTACACCCACGTGTTCTTTTTTTGGACCAGATGAAGATATGTTGTAATAATTCGTTGCTTTCGCGAACGAGGAATCGATCGCGCGTATTTGTGATAGATGAACATCACTAGGGAGACCGTTCTCTACAATAACACAAAAGGCAGGAACGCAATTTTCAAATGGGCAGCGAGAGTTTTCAATTTTATCTTCACTTTTTCCTGCTCCTCCTTTGTCCTTCTTCTCCTTCTCCTTCGATTTTACAGCTTTTGCAGCTATAATCTTACTAATTTCCTCGTCCGTAGCGTTTGTTTCCCTTCTCATCTTTTCTATTTCGTTCAATCTCGTCTGATTTTGTTGTAATTCAATTTCTAGTTTGAGTTTCTGTAAGTCTGCGAGCAACTTGGGATCGCTTCCGTTTACCCATGTATACACGATATCAATCGGTAACGGAAGACAAAGCCTGTTCTGATACGAATTTCCAAGAATGTTGTCGTGGTAGGCATTAAACGTGACTGCATACTTCTGCATACTCCATTCGAGAAAAACTTCTCCAAACTGAAATGCGGAGATCAAGGTCAACAACAAGCCTCCGATACAGAGCCATATTCCATACCGGGACGACAGACATGTGTACGTCTGCCTTTGCACAAGCTTCCAAAGCGTCTGACATACTGCTCGTTTCATTTTTACTGAATTTTGGAGCTTCTTGTGAAGCTTTTGTAGATTTTTAACCCTCGCCGGGTATCCGCCATGTTCGATTCACCTGTCATATGATTACCAGGGGAATGACCACTGATCAGCGCGTGACTTCCATTGCTGTTTCAGTGACATGCGCGTTACCGTCCTTACGTGGCATCGTCTCGTTAAAAGAGACAGAATGGTGAATACATCTCAAAACATACGTATTTACCTTAAATTTTACGACATCTTCAGGCTAAGCTGTGCCTGACTAACAAATATTGTCATCAGGGTTGTATTTTTTCATATAAGCTTGCAAAAAAGGCATAATGCGTTTTATACTTTCACGAAATATCTTACGAACAAGTTTGACATTTTATAGCGTTCTCCTAGTTTTGACAAAGAAGGGATTATGTAAGTATATATCCATCAAAACAACCATCGTTTAGATCTTGCATCTATAGTATAAATCATACGGAGCTAAGCTGCGTAAATAGCTATGCTGAAAAAATCATATTTATTTTTAGATCTCATTTTATGTTTTGGTGCCTAGGTGAGGAACTTCCCGAACAAGGGGACAACAATTCTCCTGGGAACACCATAACCAACACTCCAAATGAGGTACGGAGACAATAGTTTTGGGATGCATGAAATCCTTTGAATATCTGTGTGGGCCAGGATGCGCTAATTATACTATAGATACACGGTTGTAAACCTGTGAAGATGTCTAATCCAGAGATTTTTGCGTTTGCACGAGTTCCCCGTCGAACCTGTTTTATTTCACCCATCCTCCCAGACTCCTAAACGTAGAAACGTACCCCCCCGTCCTCTCTCCCAACCCTCATTGCAAACATACAAGCCTGATAATTTTTATAGCTTGTGTAGGAAAACATACAATTGGGCTCTTTCAAGACAAGGGAGAAAAGTTTGGTTTTCCTTTCAGCATCTGGTTCTAGCTGAATTTACATTCCCTTCATGAATTTTTATCCCTGGATGATATTTTATTTCTTCTCAACACTTCTTTCTTGAAATTTTTCAACAATGCAAGGAGAAACTCCTTTGTGATCACACCTGGGAGTTATATTTGTCTAGTTCAGAGTAACATTTTATTAGCTAACACTAATGGTTTCTGTCCTATTTTAAGGAGTCTGTCATGAAAGATTCCACACAAGGTGATAAACCAAGAACTGAAGAAACACCAAGTGAACAAATTGATAATTTAGATTTGTGGAGTGAAGAACTTAAAAAAGAAGTCCACAATATTGAAGCTCTATCCCAATTACATGAAGCAGGTCAAAGTTCTGAACAGTTAAACACAAACTTAAATAGCCAAAAAGCTTACAGTGACAATAAAGAGAAAATATCAGAAGGAGAAAAGAAACATTTTAGTGAGGAATCTAGAGGAGACAGAACTGCTAAATTGAATGGAAAGGCTCAATTAACAAAGTCAATTGAGGAAAATAGTAACAAAGAAGAAAAACTGGGGGAAGACAATATAGATAGTTCTCCTGAAACCACAGACGATAAATTTGATTCTGGTTTAGAGGCAGCTACTCACTCAGAAAGAAGAAATGGTAAGGACAGAAAAAAAGAAACATTGCGGCAAAGAAATAAAAAGAAATCTCAGACAAGGAAAGGGCGAGCTAAAACGAAATCAATTGAACAGGAGGGAATAGATGATTGGTCTGATGAAGATGATTATTATGATGATGATGATGATGAGCCATATGATGACGACATGGATGATGATATAGAGGATGATGAAGCTATGGATGATGATGTTATGAGTGAGAAAGGTTTAAATGAAGAAGAAACTGATAGTATTGATTCATGGAAAATGACAGAAAAGCCTTTGGATGAATCAGAGGACTTTGATGATGAAGACGATGACGATAAACTTAAAGAACAGGAAGATTTGCAAGAAGAGATTAAGCAGCTCAAAGGTAGTTAAAAAAAATAACTTTGTCAACAGGGCTCGACAGTAACGGTAGCCCACTAGCCACAGACTAGTAGAAATTCAGTTTTGGCTAGTGATTTTAGATCTCCACTAGCCAGTTTGGCTAGTAATCAATTTCTCCTTACAATATCAATATAATATCAAGCAGACAAGTGATGAGAATGAGGATAAAAAATCAGGGGATTATCAGTTGACTCAATACCAAATTCTCCAAACTAACTAAGAATTGTATGGCAGACAGTAAGGAGAATTGCTAATGGCATCATGGGAGTGAAAGAGTTAATGGTTGAAGTACATGTAATTTACATTGTGTGTCATATTGGAATGGTAACACGAGCTTGGATGGTTTGATTAAATTTACTTTCGGGTAAATCTCCTTATCTGCCAATTGATTTGATCTGGTTTCTAAAGGGTGGACGCAGGTTAAATTTCCATTCACCAGACGGCATAGCATTGTGTTTTGTACAACTTTTGTGTACATCCGCTCTATCAACTGGATAGCTGTTTGTGTTATTGTTTAGCCTTCAATCAGCAATTACAAGGTTTGAAATAAAGTTACATGTGATACATATATCTTATTAACCAAGCGCGAGGGCCGTACTGGGAGAATATCGGCCCGAGGTCTTGACAGTATGGACTGAGCGCAGCGAGGTCCATACAAAAAAGACTGAGGGCCGATACTCTTCCAGTATGGTCCCGAGCAAGCTTGGTTAATAAGAGATTTATTACACGACTGAAGTCCAAAGGGACACAAGTGCAGTATCATTCGGGACCATTTGGGACAGTGCCCGGTCCAATACTGAGAGAATATTGACCGGCAATAGAGCATTTTGACTGGTTGATTTTAGTTATTGGCCCTCTGACTTCCCGAGTCGTGTAATACTATTTGAAAACAGGTCCAGTCTTACTCTTTTTTTCTTCATTAGAACAAAATCAAGAAATCAAGAAAGAAAATCAAGAACTCAAGGGTTAGATTTAGCCTACGATTATACTGCAGATGGGCTTTCACTATTCAGTTATGCTCAGCTCAAAACAAGGATTAATTCACAATAATTTAGGATAAAAAATTGTCAACATACAATAGCAGCAGAATGTTTTTCACTAACTAGTTAGGCTGTTAAAAGTAATATCAATTTTAAATATTGTGAAACCAGTTGACCACATCCCCTTTATAAAGGCTACTTAATTTGAAACATAGTACCTTACGTAATAAGTTGTTAAAGAATAGAACAAAGATCAACACGTTGTATAGAGAAAAGTAATTTATGTGACATTGTTTGACAGTTTCAACCTTACTTATTCTGCTATATTCCAAGAGCAATTCCTTTGAATAAAAATGTTTTTTTTTTTTAAAAGAAGATTTTGTTTTGTTTGCTCTAGAAGAAGTTGGCCAGTTGCTTTACCAAGATGCCACGGTACTCCTAAACCAAACAAAGCCAAACTACAAGAAGTATGTATTTAAGTATGTGAGTTGAATCTGTAGTGAAAGTCAATCCTTTACAGGAGGAAGCTATTGTCAGTGTTCTGATGACAGCTTCACCCAGATTATCTATATATATCTATATCAGTCATTGTCAAAGACAACATCTGTCTCCCAGATGGTCAAACTGTATTGTGGACTACAACATTTGTGTTATGTGTTCTAGTGTACATGTATGCGTGATTTAAGGAATGGCTTTGAATTTGTACTTGCCATTTATTGTTTCAGAGCATATGGCTTACTAGAAGAAGCTGCCTTTCTTCACAACTTTACCAAAGCTCAAGAACTTGTTGCTCTATCCTATCTGGTTTGTATAAACATTTTTTGTAAAAACTCATTTTGATGAGTTTGATGAGAACTTAAATTCTCAGTTTGATGAGAACTTAAAAGCAATTTAGCATCTTGTTTTCAAAATTAGAAAAGTTTTTTTTTTTTTTTTGTATCAGAATAATGGGAAATAGAAAACTTAGTTATGGACACTTTATTTTATCACATTCATTATGTATTATTTGTTTTGAACAGTTTGGTGATCACCTTCCCCGTAACATCACCAAAGCGGTTCTGATGTTGACAGATCTTGCTGACAAAGGCTCAGCTGTTGGCCAACAGGTAATGACAATAAATTCCTGTGTTGATTCAGTCCATTCCTTCTTTGCAAGGGTGCAGTGTGCAAGTTGTGGCCTAGTTTTCCCTCAGTTAAATACTTTTACCCAGTTAACTTTGTGTTGTCTTTAGTTCCGCATTATTTTTTTAAAAAAAAAGTAACATGTGAAAAGGGTAATGAAAATCTAATTGGTTTAGTACGATTTAAACCAAAAAAAAAAATCAAATCACAAAATAAACACAAAAGAGGTTTTTTAATTTCAAATGATGTATTTGTTGCAGACTCTAGGATTTTTGTATGCAACTGGTATTGGTGTCAACTCCAGCCAAGCCAAAGCTCTGGTTTATTATATGTTTGCCGCATTAGGAGGAGACTTCAAAGCTCAAATGGCTCTGGTAAGGTCTTTCATTAACGTTCTTGATGAGCTCTCTTTTTTCACTCTTCTATTATGTGGCAGTTAAAACGTCTGGATGCCAGAACCTATATACACGAAAGCTGGGCGTCTAGGACATGGCTAGCTAACATGTTTAGAATTTACATATGTACCCTCCCCCCCCCCAAAAAAAAAAGCTAATACAAAATGATAAAAAAAAAAACGCTAGTGGCTATTCCCTAATGTCTTAAAAACTCAACAAAATAACACATGGCTAAGATGAAGTCTTCAACTCATGACTTTCAAAGATCTTGCAATCTTGAGTGAACTGCTGACTACAGACTTCTGCATTCTACCTAACACTGCTGTACTCCTTTCTGATCCAACAAGCTCCCTGACGCTCTTCTTGAGGTCTTTCGAGTACCCTCCCAGGACATCGATGATTATGTTGTACTGAATGATATTAAAACCCGGGTATTGTCTCTTGAACTCTAGACGAAGCGGGGCGTACTTCATTATTACTTTTATTATTATTATTATTATTATTATTGTTATTGTAGTTCCCCATGTGTAACCCTTTAAGAAACAATCAGCTTAAGCTGAGCTGAAGCTGAAGAAGCTTAAGCTGAAGAAACAAGATGTGGATTAGATAATAACAATTTCTGTTTGGAATATTTCCAGGCATCATAACCATAAATGGTTGTTTTGTTTGACACAATACTAAGTCTGATCGTTAAATGCAACAAGGATGACAGGTTAGAAAAAGTACCAGCTTCCCACTTCTGTGGCCAGGTATTGATTCCTTGACTAGAAGTCATAATGGGCTGACTTATTTTAATGGCTCTTGTTCTCGCTCTGAGCACTTTTTTCAGGGCTCAGTGGAATTTTGTCTCATTGAAAACTAATATCCTAAACTCCAATTTTACCTGGAAGCAGTGTAAAAGAAACCATTCCTGTGGTGTGTTGCCACTAAAAATGTTTATTTGGAATTGCACTAGCCTTAAAGGTTGCTCCTTTTGGTTGTGTGAATTTTTTGTAGGGTTATCGTTATTGGGCAGGTATAGGGGTGGCTGCTAATTGTGAGTCTGCACTGACCTATTACCGCAGAGTGTCCAACAAAGGTATGTTGTGAAGAGGAATTTTATGTTCAAAGGTTCTTTTTTTAACCCTGTCACTCCCAGAAGAGATGATCTTATAGATTTTTAAGGTTTTTCTCACAATTTCAATATAATATCAGTGGAAAAAGCCATCAGTTGAAGGGTAATAGTCATAAGTACTTTGCAGGAAACTTTGTGTCAGCTAGAAGGGAGAATAACTCATTAGATCGTAAGAGTTTAAGTTGTAAACACAAAACAGCTAATGCACGTGTACATGCTATGCTGCATCCCAAAGACACACCAGCCCTCCTTACTCCATCAATACCATTTGTTTCAGGGCCACCATAGCCCACCCCATCAATGGCAGTTTATTTTTTAATATAAAGTTTGTATGCATAGTACGAGTAGTCAGATTTCTCTTGGTACACACTTTAAGTTGCAGAGGATGTGTCCTTAACAGGTGGAGCTGCCACTCAAAGAATACGCCTTATTGATGAAGAAGAACAGGTGAATTGCAGTCAGAATTTGTTTTAGGGTCCTTCTTTTCTATGGCTGATTTTAGTTCTTAGCCATTTTGGGGAAGAGTTGTTGGCAATGAACAACATGGCTTAAATAAGTGAGTTTTAGCCTCTATGTTCTACTTCTTGGTGATTATAGAAATCTTTTCTGATGTGAAACTCAGAAGACAATGAACAAATTCATAATACATATACTAGATAACTCAATCAAATTATGTTTATGTTCTTAGGGTGGAAGCAGCTCAGTGCTAGATGAAGATCTAATTCAGTATTACCAGTTCCTTGCCGATAAGGGGGATGTACAGGCTCAGGTATGTTTTATATGTACTCTTCTGCCAGGAAGCAGGTTAAAAAAGTTTTAAAAAATTGTTGAAGAGAGAATAGTGTAATGTAATTGGGGAAAAATTCTTGATACCTGAAGCAAAATAGCACAGACTGTCTAAATTCAGGAAGATTTCTAATCAACATTTAAGGTAACAATGCATCAGTTGAATTTGTTTAAAGGTTTATTCACTATTTTGCCCTTTGAGACAATTCAACTTAATGTCTCTTTTGGCTGATTTTCACCCTGACACAAACATGGTCACAGGGTGATACTTGCAACTGTGTTGGCATGCTGATAAGAAGGCACTGATAACCTGCATGTCTGGCACTACACATTTCAGTAGCTACTTTTGCCCTGGAGAAGACCAGTCATTTGTTCAGATATGATAATTATTTAAGGAACAGTGGTGTGGCAAATATTTTAATTTATGTATTTACAATTTTTTCTAGGTTGGCCTTGGTCAGTTGCATTATCAGGGAGGTCGAGGAGTTGAAATGGATCATGCAGTAAGATTCTTCTTTATTATTTTTCTCTGAAATGCGATGTTATGTTTTGAACTTAAACATGCTTTTGGTGAATTTACAAGAAATAATTTTCACCTTTAGAGAGCCTTCAGATACCTCCAGCAAGCTGCTGATGCAGGAAATTCAAATGCTATGGCTTACTTGGGAAAGGTATGCAGTCATGCAGTGAACATCAGTTATTGTGATCTCAATGTACACAATGACAAAAGCTCATCTTTGTTTTTATGTACTTATGATACACCCTCTTTGAGGATTTAAAAAGGTCAAAGGGCAATTTGGCCCTGGAATCTGATGTACCATCCATTGTATCAGGGAAGTTGTTGAAGTTTGGCAGCAGTGTGAGTCAATCTAAGTCCCTTGTGCCATGTGAAAGACAAACCAGTTCTTAGTTTTCAGTCGCATAGTCTATCATTGAGGTACAGGGGACCTGATGGTGAGCTAGGCTATTAGGTTTGTATGTGAGTAATGCTCTACACACTGTTAGGATTAACACTGGCAAAAGCAACCTGTGCTGAGATGATTATCATAATCGACAATAAATTATACCCATAACTGGCCAACATTTCATCTAAGGGCTTAATGCCAAATAACTAACTCTTATTTGCTACTTGCAGCAATTGTAGATGAAAATCAAGGAATCACTTGTATTTTACAGATGTATTCAGAGGGAAGCACTGCAGTCAAACAAAACAACAAGACAGCTTTCCAGTGGTTCAAAAAAGCTGCAGATGCGGTAAGTGAGTATTAATATCCAGTAGGTGATGGGTTTCTGGGGGCTTCCAGGGCCCAGTTGTTTGAAGGCCAACAAGCGTTAACCCAGGGTTAAATTTTAGTCCAGGTTTCTATATTTCTCTGTTCTAAAACCATTTTGGGACCAATTTCCCAATTATATTTATAGCATTCAATCATCAAATTGTAGGGAAATGGAATTAAACTGAATTTTCTTTTAAAGCTTTCAGATCTAAAATCAAATTTCACTTTAACCCTGGGTTATCTTAACCCAGCTTTCAACAACCCAACCCTGATCTCTACAAGTGACAACTTTCACATTCTTGTTTCCTTTTTTGTGATTGCAGGGTAACGCTATCGGCCAAAGTGGCTTAGGTTTGATGTACATGTTTGGGAAAGGGGTGGAAAAGGTGAGTCAACTGAGACTGTCTGTGTCATTTTATTGTTGATGTTCATAGAGCAAGAAGAAGGAATTAGTTTGAATTAAAAGTTTTGGTTACAGCTTGTGTTTGTGTTGAATTTAACAGGACTATGAGAAAGCTTTCCAATACTTCAAACTGGCTGCTGAACAAGGTTGGGTTGATGGCCATCTCCAAATGGGAACATTGTACTATCGTAAGTTCCTTCCTATATTTTTCTCTTTTGCTAAAATCTAACAATGCTATCCTTACAGTGCTTGTTAAATATAAGAAGTCAAACCATCTCTCTCTCAATTCCACCATGTCATTGCTCATTGCAGATGGGCTTGGTGTCAGACGTGACTACAAGATGGCCATCAAGTTCTTTAATTTAGCATCACAGACTGGTAAGGGAAGCTATTGGTAATCACCAACAACTTAAGTCCATTATTAGAATTAGAGTTATCTGGTGTGAAAATCCAGGTGATGATAGTCCTGAAAAGTAATGAATATACTATACTGAATGTACTATTTTAGGTCATGTGCTGGCATTTTACAATCTTGCTGTGATGCATGCTTCTGGAACAGGAGTGTTGAGATCTTGTAACACTGCAACAGAGGTAGGTTTTCAGTTGTAGTATTGTAAGATCAAGGAGTCTGTAGAAAAGAATGGGAAATCATTCTTTTAAAGAAATAATAAAGGCTGATACTTTCTAAACAAACTGTTTGGGGCTGTGTCGGTGGGGGTAACCAAATCATTTGGATACATCAACAAAGTTGAAATGGTAAATTGGCCACCGTAACGATTACCAAAGCTGACGTTTCGAGCGTTAGCCCTTCGTCGGAGCGAATTTTAAATAAAGCATCGGCTTTACTGTATTTTTTTTGTGGAGGGAAAATGCCTTCCTGGCCATTTCCTGTTCTATGAAACTGTTATAAAGTTAAATCTGTGGATAGCCTAAGACAATTTGTAGAAATAAAGTTGGTCGCCAGTCATTTTTCCAGTTTTAGGTAAGTACATAGAAAATGGTTATTTATACTGTAGTAGGTGGTAAGTATTCCATGTAAAGTGTGCTGGTAAAAATTGATATCTCATCCAACGCATAAAAAAAACCTTTGTGCAGAGAATTATGGTTATATGCCATATCATACTCAGTTGCCCCTAAGCTCCTAAGGACTAAGTTGTATGTTTCACATGAATCACTACATTGTTCTGAATGTGGATTATCGTTTTCCAAACAGCTTTTCAAGAATGTCGCAGAGCGCGGAAGGATAGCACAGATGTTAATGGAGGCGCACGAGGCATACCGTGCGGGTAACATAGATACTGCCCTGCTGAAGTATGCATCACTAGCAGAACTGGGATATGAAGTCGCACAAAGCAATGTAGCCTACATTCTTGACCATGGTAAGGTTTTAGTTTTGTAACCCACTATGCTATGTAGAGTTTGGAAGTCAGTACTGTGGATATTATTATGGAGCAAACTGGCTTCTCTGCAACAACAAAATTCACAGGCAATGCGGAGTCTTGGCAACATACGTTATATAGGCTCCTACTTCCATTTGCAGTTTCTGCGTAGTGCTTACCTGGTAGAGGTTAGGTATCATTTTTTAAAGCCCCATTTTCTTAACTAATTGTCTCTACCGAAGTCTGCAAAAGTTTAGAAGGAAGTGAACAGAATTGATATTCAAAGGGAGGCGAGGTGATTAGAGTTAGTTCCTATAACATCCTTTTACCATTCAGAATGCATGGTTTTGTCGAAAGTTTGTTAATATTCTCATTACAATTAACAAATGGTAAACATCATAGCATTATAGATGCGTGCAGGAGGTTGCTAAGCAGGAAAGAAACGTAAGAGTTGCGAGGTGACAGCCAAGAGCAACTGTAGCTTCTTGAGTGCTTAGCAAACCTCCGAAGTGCATCCATAACTCAATAGTGTACCCTGTGGCATTTACCATTTGTTTTATAACATAACATTGATATATTGTAGCATAATAGTTATCTTTTATTTAACAAATCGTACATGACCAAAAAAAACAAGTGAGTGTGGAAAACTAGCCTTTGCATTTGTTCACGTCAGCAGCGTATACCCATAGGCAAATGGTGGATGCTGAATTGACCAATCAGAGCACACACTTTACTTTGGTTATGTTACAATACCATTCAGAACGCATGGTTTTGTTTAAAGTTTGTTATTATTCTCATTACAATTGGATTTTGTGAAAATTTGTGAATAAGTAGTGTTTAATCACTGGCTGAGAGTTGATTTGGGAAACGTCATTTAATGAACATGTAGTAATTGTTTGTATTTGTGACAGGTTTGACGTCAGTGATCCTGGAAAATGAAACATTTCCCAGAGCCCTGCTCTACTGGACAAGAGCAGCCTCTCAAGGTAATTCAGATTAACTTATAAGGAAACATTACAGTAGTGTATGATCAAATGCTCTTTTTATGGCAGTATTGAAAGTACATGGAAACACTGTAGATTGAGTTGTAATTTCCCCTTTTATGAGGTGTAGACGCTAAAACACTTTAAATCCGTCAGGGACACGAATAAGTTTTGAACACGTACCAATCTTCTTTTATTTCACGGTGATTTACTCGAAGGATTACACGGTTCCCAAAAGGTAAAAGGAATTTGAAACAAACGATGCAATGGAGAAAGGAAACGCTGAATTAAAAACGAACCAAACAATAGGAATAGTACTTACAAAACACGTTTTGCCCCATTAAAATGTAGAACACACTAAGAAACTTGGGTGATGCTATATCGAAGGCGCTCGTGGAGGGTAAGAGTAAACGGTAAGTTTGGTCAGCGGGGAAATTATGAAACCCGCGAATATGTGCGAAAGCCCGCGAAAGGATGACATTTAAAACTGAAAACAGTTTTTCAGTGAGACACTAAAATGCGTAATCATGGCGGCGACTATTCAATCGTCTTTAAACAAATCGGAGATTGAGTTCCTTGAGGAAAACCTTGAAAATTGTTCTGTTAAAAACCAGTACTTTTTGGGTTATTTCGATGGGAAAAGAGACGAGTTCGAGGATAT